TAATAAATTTTATTTTCAACAACAATGCAACTAACTAAATCTTGATTTTAATCTAAGCTCTGTTGAAATCTGCCCCCGGTATGGACATTTTGGTTAAAGTATTATCAACCACTTAAAAAAAAAGACTTTTTACTAATAAATAATGCAGTTAGAAGCAGAATTAAATAAACTAGCAGATGAATAAATGTCACTTACCTTATTAAAAGATTACTGATAGATAAACAGTTTAAAATCAAAACTGTCATTTTACTTTTGGAATGTTAAAACATGTTCCACAGAGTAGCAAAACAGTGGTAAAAAGAAAGTGCTTAAAACTAAATGTCAACAGTTGTGCATAATTAAAGCTTATTGTCTGGCATATTGGCCAATCATCAAGCAATATTAGAAGGCAGAAATTCTAGTTGTTGAAAGGTGCCCCGTGTTGAAATGTACCCCCTCTCCCCTACTCTTTTTTTGTTAGGTGTTCTTAAAAGTGCTTCATTTTCCCTTTTCCAGAATAAGATTTTTTTCTTTCTTTCCCACGTAAATTTTCGCCGTGAATTACGCAAAAAGCTTGGTTTTTACATTGTTCTTTGCAACGTTTTTATGATTAATTTATATTTTACACACCACAAATCATTACATTTTGCCACAATCCATTTCGGGGTATGAAAGTGACAGTCAATTTATTTTATGAAAAAATTTTTATATTTTGCATATCCGAACACTGAACTGAATTCGGTGGGAAGGAATCTCGTGCAATTCTGCTGCATTTTGCAAGAGACTTACAATTTGAGACTTCATTTTCAACCCTCTAAAATTGAACCAAAAATGAAAAGAAAAAAAAAAATTTACTGATCATGAGAACTAAGAATTACCAAATCCCCCTCCCCCATTAGCAAACGAAAATTTTATTTCTCTTATTAATTTAATCCTTGGTGAGGCCTCATTATCTTTGTCACTGACAAGCTAATGACGTTCTCGTGCTGTTCTACATAAGATCTGTACCATAATGCTTGATCTTGACTTGGGGGATCATTTACTAATTTTGTATTTTCATGTGTGTCCAGCAGTTAACAATCACAGATCTTTATCTCAAAATTTCCATTTCTCCATTTATTTATTTAATTTAAGAAAGAAAAGAATTAATAGAGATTTTTAATTATATGGTACCATCTACTAAGCAAATAATTTTATCTTTTTTATTGTATTTAATTTTTTTACTTATTACTTTTAATTTCGTTTATGGTTGTATTTTTAAAATTTTCAGTGCTCTTGAGTTGTTTAATGAAAATACTCAATATTTGGAGGCTAAATTTTAAAAGTATGAAGTTAGAGGCTTTTCACTATTTTAACATATAGCAAATCTTATCACATTTAAAAACTTCACACACTTAAAAGGCTTTTCACTTGTAAAAAATCTTATCACATTTGTCATTCCAAAAAGAAATTAATTTGTCTTTTTATCAACAATTGAAACAGTTGAAAATATTTAAATTTGAAGAATTGAATTGATTTAAAAACAATTGAAATAAAAAATTCAATAATCTTGCATTTGTTAAAGTTCTGACTGAAGGGACCATATAATACTTTTCTTCTGACAAAAATGTTAACCTTCAATACTCATTATATTCACATTCCTAAATAATTTAAATTTTTATTAATTTTTTAAAATTTTGTTATTAAAGAAATTCTGAACCAAGTTACAAATTTTAATGAAAATTTAACAGGCACCATTCACTAATTTACATTTGTAGTATGCATATATTAAAGTTTTTTAGTTCGCTTAATTTTTTGCATGTCTTTATAAATTCAGTATGATCAATAATATTAATCTTGTTAATGGTTGAATGTGCTTTCATAAGTAGGTATAGGTAGCTTTAATTTAAATTTAAAATATACACCCAATAATTTTTTAAAATTATAGTTTAATTAATTATAAATGCGAAAAAAAATTTTTTTAAGTAATTAAATAAAGTGATTATTAATTTCAAAAATGGAACGAATGACTCAATATAAAGTATATTTAAAATTGTGCATAAATTGTTATTATGATGGCTAATATAATTATGAAAAGAGCTTTTTGTTAGAAACTAGTTATTTTATCATGATAGTGTAAAAGTCTTTGAAAATGTTTTTGCATTTTGTTGATAAAAGAACTTTAACAATAGATCGAAAAAACTTTTTACTGCTTATATTCAAATTATTATTCTAATTTTTTTTTAAATTTTTGTTTTTTTAAAAGTGCTTAAAAGGTGCTTATTTTTGGTAGAAAAATTTGGTTATACACCCTGTTATCTTTTTCTACTGTGTCTAAAATGTGTCAAGCGTATTTATTTTGTATAATACTGCTTCATTTTTTCGAAATTGGTGTTGTTCCTTATGCACATAAATTCAGAAAGTGATATAATAATATTGGAAAATTTTAAAATTGTAAATTTAATAAGTATTTTTTTAAAAAATTTATTTGGGTTTTTACTATTTTTCAAAATTTCTGCATGGTTTAATATGTCAAGCGTTTTTAGATAAAATGAAAAACTTTTTGTGAACACAAAATCTCAAAAAACTTTCTATAAACAATTTACTGATTCTTGTAGGTTTTTTAAAAAAAAATGTGTGTTTTTTTTTATAGTTATTGCTGTATTGTGATTTTGAATATCTCAATATTTTAACACAATATTACAACTCGTAAAATTCGATTCTGTTTTTAAAAAAATTGCAATTTAAAAAGTAATTACGTATTTTATCAAAAAGAATTTAAAAAAAAAAACGAGATGTGTTAATTTTTATTAAACGTGGATCCCTTTTGCAGAAAAATATTTTAATACGCATGCTCAATTCTGTAGTCTCATGAACATGTGTAAGTTTAACCACACATACCCAACCTTTATTTTTTGTAGTCACATGATTTAAAAATCTCATGTTGCGATTCGCTAGTTTTAAATATCATACGTTTTGATTCTTCTTGCAATTTAAAAAGTCACACATCGTGATTCGTATTGACATTTAGGTGATTTAATAAATCATCCATCGTGATTGGTATTCGCGAGGTTTAAAGGGAACACCGCGATTCGTAATCAGGCGGTTCAAAAACCACATCGGGATTCATATTCACACGTTTTAAAAATCATACATTGCGAGTCTTCTCGCAATTTAAAAATCACACATCTTGATTTGTATTTACGCATCGTATTTTTTATTCACGCTATTTGAAAATCACACGTAACAATTCGTATTCAAATGATTTAAAAATCACATATTGCTCTTCATATACTGTCGATTTAAAAATCAAGAAAGGAAGAGCATCATCAGGGACAAATTCCAAAAACTGATTAAGTTTAATACTGCCCACAACTACAGCTTCTGTAGAAAGACTGTTTTCCTGAATGAATAGGGCATGTTCTAGACTGTGGAGCAGTCTTTAAACAGAATCATTAAATTTTCATTTAATGGCCCGAAAAAGCTATCATCAAGTAGATAAAATTATCACAATATTTGAAAAATTTGAAAATTTTAGGATAACCATTAAGAAATATTTTAAGCCATTTTCTACCTACATGGACCATTTTTTATCATTTATGATCATGTGCTGGAAAATTATTTGTATATCCTTAAATTTGAACTGTAAAAAAGGGAAATCAAGATCAGTATCGTAATGTAAATTTTAATTAGTAGTCACAATTAATTCATATATATATGAATTAATTGTAAATAGTGTCATGTTAAAAAAGTATTGGCTATAAAGAGTTGTAAACAAGTATCTTAATAGTTTTTTATTATTTAGGAAAATAGTTCCTTCAAAATCTTTTCTTTTTCTTTCCTCTCTCAACCCCTTCCTTCCTCTTATGATTTATTTACAATGTTTTAAAGTTGGAGTATATTTCCAACTAAATGTTGAATCTTATTATGCCCTGCAAAGGTTTTGTTTTAATTTTAATCATTTTTAATTCTGCAAACTTTCTTTAAACAGGGTTCCCACGGTCCTTGAGAGTCCTTGAAAGTCCTTGAAATTTTTTTTGCTAAATTTAGGTCCTTGAAAGTGCTTGAAAAACATCTTAGGTCCTTGNGCCTGTTGTGGTATAGTTAAAGTATTTAACTTGCATTTATTTTATTAACTAGAGTATTTAATTTTTTAAAAATTTAATTCTATGAACATTAAAAACTTTTAATGTTAAAATTTATCTTTAAATGGACTTCAGTATTATGTAATGTGATAGTGTGTTAGAATTATGTAAAGAAAAAAAAAAACATGAATTTTCCCATTATTTTAATTTTTTTCAGTTTATCTGAATTTATTTCTGATAATTGATTTTGATTTTCTGATTCTGTTTTTTCCCTAAGTAATCAGTTTCACAGTTTTTAATTTTAAGCATTTAAAAGTATTTAATTTCATGCAAACATATTACAAGGTTAAGTGATAAAAAGAATTTAGTGGCTAGAATAATGTTTATATAAATATTACTACCTATATTTGCTGTCAACATGTATGTCTAAATACTTGGGCATGCTGCTCTTCATTGGTCAATCTGCTCTGAATGCAGCCCTTCACTTAAAAAAGTTGTGCATTTCTAAATTAAAGTTTTGTAATGTAAATGAAACACATTTATAGTAAAACCTTTGTACCAAATTTTAATAATGCACAAAGATGGTTCATAATATTATTACCTTGTATTACATTCTGTGCTTTTTCAAATTAATTACATAAAATGTGGTTGGGATATTTTGACAGTTCTTTCTATATTCATAAAAAGTGGTTTCACTACCGCTTTACCACTACAGTTGTTCTGATTTTGAAAGAATTCATTAATTTTTTAGTTTTCACTTATTTAAAAAGATATATTAAATTATTGATTATTTAAGCTAGATTGTGCAATTATGATTTGTTTAAAAAAACATTTTTTTTTTTTTTTAAATTTGATACCTAACTAACTATCCTTTTGATGTTTAAATTTATAAGTTACTAATTGATTTACTGAAAAGACATTTAAGGTGTCCTATGTCTAACTTTTTTTCTTTTTCAGATTATACTATAAAATGCCTTTCAAAAATATGAATATCTCAAACGAAGTTGAGAGTAAAGATAATTCTAATGTCATTAGACATGAATCCACTAAAAATGAAAATGTAGCCTATGGAATCACCGATCTGCCTAACAATGATGACGTGTATACGAGCTATAAATCAAATAGTTTTGAGGGAAGTATTATTACGCCCGAGATGTTAAAGGAAGAGCAAGAGTTGGAACAAAAGGCTATTTTGGAGGAGCAAGAAATGAAACGCCAAGTTGAAGAGGAAGAAAAGAAAGTTGCTGAAGAGAAGTGCTACAAGCGTTTACATCTTTTGTTGAGTCGTAGCAGTATTTACGCTAAATTTATGGCCGAAAAATTGGAGAAACGTGAATTGAAACAAAAGGAAAAGGAAAAAAGGCAGAAAGCAAAATTGGAAAGTAGTAGTGCAGGAGAAAGTGAACTGAAACGAAAATCAGATGATGCTGTATCTTCATCTAAGAAAAGAAAGGTGCATAAAACTGAAATTACAGTAGTTGATGTTTTTAAAGAAAAAAATATGCTCAATATTGAGCGTCAGGAAACTACTAATAATGCTGATTTGGAAAAAGGCTGTGTGAATAATTTAAAAGAAACTGATCTAGCAGACCGTCACCCCATTCTTTTTTATGGTGGGAAAATGCGTAATTATCAAATTGAAGGATATGATTGGTTGAAAACTCTGTATGAACATGGCGTCAATGGAATTTTAGCTGATGAAATGGGATTGGGAAAGACAATTCAGGCTATTGCATTTATTGCATATTTGATTGAAATGAAAGTAGCTGGTCCCTTTTTCATATGTGGTCCTTTATCAACCTTGCCCAATTGGTATTCTGAATTTAAGCGATTCACTCCTGATATACCTGTCATACTGTATCATGGTCCACGTGACGATAGGGATTATCTCCTTCGTAAGATAGCTAAGAAAGTTAAAGTAAATGAATCATTTTCTTGTTTTCCAGTGATTTTAACATCCTATCAAATTGCATTAATTGATGCCAAAAAGCTCTCTGAAATTGATTGGAAATCCATCACCATTGATGAAGCACACAGAATTAAAAACTTCGAATGTAGACTTGTCAAAGCTTTGAAAACATTTCATGCCGGTCACAGATTACTTCTTACGGGTACTCCCTTGCAAAATAATTTGGATGAACTCTGGTCGCTGTTAAATTTCATTCTTCCTGAAATATTTGATGATCTCAAAGTGTTTCAGTCTTGGTTTGATATTAACAGATTATCTAAAAGTGGGGCAAATAATGAAATAGTTGCAAGAGAGCAAGAAAAACAAATTATTTATACAATTCATCAAATTTTGACACCTTTTCTTTTACGTAGGACTAAAGCTGATGTGGAGTTGCAACTTCCTGAAAAAAAGGAAATCATTGTCTATGCACCACTCACTGATTTGCAAAAAAAATATTACACAGGTGTTTTAAACAAAACTATAGCAAATGATTTGAGACCTTCAAAATACTTTGATCCTTCAGAAGTGCTGACAAAGAGGAGAAAGCCAGTTAAAACCGAATATTTTGGCTGTGAAAATGTGATAAATGAAAAAAATATTGCCTGTAAGTCAGAAGAAGAGCCTTGGGATCCTGATACCTTGGATGCAAAGTTGAATCTTAAACTTCAGAATCCTATGATGTGTCTAAGAAAAATATGTAACCATCCTTTCTTAATCAACCACCCTGTAGTTCCTGTTGGCGAAAAGTTAGTACAAGCTAGTGGCAAGCTTTTAATCTTGGATGCTATGTTAGCTGAATTAAAAAAACGTGGGCATAAAGTGATTATCTTCACCCAGTTTGTTTCTATGCTTGGCATATTAGAAGACTACTGTGATTTGCGAAAATATAAATATTGCTGCTTGGCTGGAGATATGACATTAGAGGAGCGTCAGGAGCATCTGGAAGACTTCAAAGATGATTCTACTTTTATCTTTTTAATTAGCACTAAAGCTGGTGGTCTTGGATTAAATATCATATCAGCTGACACCGTCATTATTTACGATTCCGATTGGAATCCTCAAAATGATTTGCAAGCTCAAGACCGTTGCCATCGTATTGGACAAACTAAGCCTGTTGTGGTATATCGGTATATTGTACAAAATACGATTGACGAAAGGATTTTGGAATATGCGACAGCTAAAAGGAAATTGGAGAAGGTGATCATACAAAAGGGTCGCTTCACGTCCAAAGATATGGCTCGTTCTCAACAAGCGATCACTCCAGATGAACTTTTGAAACTCTTAGACTCCTGTGATCATGCAGGTTTTGTGAAAACTAATGATAATTATGTCATTTCTCCTGAAGAGCTTACTAAACTGTTGGACAGAAGTGATATGCAAGGATGGGATGAGAATGTTAAAGGTTGAATTCTTTTTCGAACAAATTTTTCATTTGTAAATTTATTATTTTCCACTCAAATATTTTCTAAATTAAAAATTAAACTTTATCTTATGGATCAAGTAAAAATTTACAGACTTTTTATGAATTTTTTTTGCTTGTGATTGTATTTTAAATTACAAGTTGTTATTAAATTAGTTAATAAAATAAGTTATTTATTATTGATGTTAAAAAATTTTTCAAAACTGGAATTTTTTATTTGGCAATTGCAGTCAATTAATACTAACATTGTCTTGTAATTGAATATGCTTTTAAAACTTATTGTGAGACAATTGAAAGTCAAAAAGTAAATTTATGTTTAATATAAAAGTTTAAATACTGCAAATATTTGTGTTTTTCTTTTTAAAGTTTTTCTCATTTATCTGACAAAAATCGCCTGATCGCTGCTCATTAACACATAATATTTCTTACCAATTCGTAAAGTTAATTTAACAAACAACGCAAAAAATTTATTAACATCTTTTATTTAGTTTTTTTTTTTCTTTTTCCCTGTTCTTTTTAAGGGTAAATAACACATTAAACGCTAAATTAAAAGTAATTAAACCATTAAAAAGTATTTCAACAAAATCTTTTTTACTATTGACTAATATTTTGATAAAGAATATAAAAATTTTTACTTCCTCATTTTAATGATAAAAGATAACTAGAGATATTTATTATAGACATTTAATATCTAAATGTTTTTTTTTCTTCAAAGTGAGGCTTGTATGTTAGTTTGTTTACCTCCTTGATTGTTAGCATATAAAGAAATGTCAGAATTATTTACATTAATGTTCTTATTTAACAGTATACAATTTGTAGTATACTGTTAAATGTATTAATTAATTGTTCTAAAATATACTTTTGTTTTTCATTCATTGTATCAATACAAATTTTAATATAAATGAGCGTAAGATACTCGGCAATATATTTTTCTAATTAAAAAAGTTTTAGAATGATGAAAAGGAAAAATGGACTGCATAAATAAGCACATAAAATAGTAAAGGTATGCACTAGCAGTTTGAAAAACAAAGAATTAATTACTTTTTAATTGTTTATTCTAACTTGATGGGGCTTTAAACGTAGCAATATTCTAATTCATATATTGCTGCATTAAATAATTGAGAAAAAAATATTTTCAGTGAATTTAATAGTTTTTAATATAATATGAAAAATCACAATAATTAATAGAAACTTACTGCGTATATACAAAACAAATTTATTTACACTGACAGAAAATAATTCTAAAATTTAACTGAAAAAATTAATCATTCCTATTTATACTTTTGATCGCAGCAAACTTAATGTTATTAATANATCGAATAACCCGCTTAATAGCATAGATTTGGCTGGAACCAATGGTATTCCATTAAGCGGGGTTGACTGTAATTCATATATTGCTACATTAAATAATTGAGAAAAAAATATTTTCAGTGAATTTAATAGTTTTTAATATAATATGAAAAATCACAATAATTAATAGAAACTTACTGTGTATATACAAAACAGATTTATTTACACTGACAGAAAATAATTCTAAAATTTAACTGAAAAAATTAATCATTCCTATTTATACTTTTGATCGCAGCAAACTTAATGTTATTAATAGTAGTTAAAAATAAATATAGTTATTGCATAATTAAACTATTTAAGCATTTTTAAGAGACCTAAATTTGCTCACACTATTTAACATCAAGGATGGCTTTTTGCAGTGGAAAAACCACCTGTTAGAAGTAGGTTTTTTCTAAAAGAAATATTTAAACAGTTTATAATTACAATCAAATTTATTGTTAATTTTTAAGCTTTTTTTTGTATCATTTTTAAATAAGTAAACCTTAAAAAGAAAAGATATGGAATTTTTTAGATGAATTAATTAAAATGACTCATTTTCAATATTTTATATAGTAATATTTAATTTTATTAACAACACTGAATCGCATATTAAATGAATATCTAAACACATATTGAATTCTCAATTACAAATAGCATGCTAATTTTTTAATCAAATGTTAAGTATGAATACTTAAACCAACTCTTAAATAATCTACATATCTGCCAAGTCTCCTGTTTTTTAACGAAGACTCCTGTATTTTTCAACTATCTCCTGTTTAACTGTATTGTGTCAAATTTCTCTATATTTGTGGAAGAAATTTAAAAAAAAAATTTTTTCGTTAAAATATCTGCTGATGGAAAAATATTCTCATATTCCTCAACAGATAGTGCTATTGTCAATACTGCAGTATTTTGAAGACTCTGTATAATAAATGGTGACTGGTGCAGGTTAAATCTGTCGAGTCACAACGTCCTCCATGTACCCATAACAAATCAATCCCTCTTGGGGTACTGATCCAGGAGTTTTCTTGTCTTCTGGATTGGTTCAAAATTACAAGGCTACGGAGTTGAACTTTACTAGTTGTAACCCCAAAATTATGTCAGTTGTTCAACAACTGTTATAAAATAAAATAGTTTAAGTATTATAAATAATGGTTTAAAAAAATCTTCTTTAGATTAAGATTTATATAGATATTTTTTACTTCCCTAACTGTAAGTGCTTATATTATTTCCAGTTTTAAATTTCTCTGTTTGACTTACATGGTTATGCATGATGTATCAAAACTTAACTCGTAGCTTAAAAAATGTCCCTAGTAAAATATCCGTTATTTTATTTCTTCAATGTTGCCAGGCATGTAATATATATTTTAAAATTCTCCATACAACTAATAAATAATTAATAATGTTAAAAAAATAATAAAGTTAATGTGAGTTTCTTCCATTTTGTCCAGTTAAAGATTTCTTCCACTGTTCTGGAAAAAAAAATTATTCTTTAAGGAGGCCCTAAAGCCTGAAATGTTAAAAATCGCGGAACAGTTTCACAGATTAAATAGTATACTAAGAGTCTCGAATTTTTTCACGACATTCAAGAATCTTGTTAGCCAGAACCTAAAATGTTTATTTTTGGAAAATTAGGTTGTGAATTATTTTTAAAAGCGTATAAAAGTTTTGTTACATTTGAGTTGTAGTTCTGTTACTGGAAATTGGATGGCATTACAATAAATGTGAATTTACTGTTTGTGAGACCAATTCGCAAAAAAAGCATAAAATACATATTTATATTCTCATTAATTGTTGATTCTTTTTGTTTTAGGTATTAATACAGGTTGTTAGCTTTAATCCAATAGCAATTTTAAGACATTTTAATCAGTATTTAATTTGTGAAACTGTTCAGGAGAAAAGTCACTACGTGATAATTTTTCCAGCATAGAAAATCAGAATATTTTGTTTTTTTTCCTTGTTTACGAACGCGCTTGAAAGAGAGTTATTCAGGATATAGCGATTAGCATCGGCAGTTTTAATGTTTACATTGATATTGCTTAGTTTCCATTTATATTTGTTTCTTTAATTTAAATTCTAAATAAACATGTAAGTTGAACCAAATAAAAATCGTTGGTAATCTAGATGCTTGTTTTGCGATACCAGAAGACGTTCTTTACATATTTACATTAATATACATCATTGCGATACAATGATTTATTTACATCTAGAAACTGTTAAAAGATAGAATAGTTCTTTCGAGGTAATCAATTAGCTAGTATGAATTAGAATCTTTTTAGGAAAGGCTGAACTCAGTGGCCCCCTACCCCCCCAAGCTCTTGGGCGCATTCATCCCCCCCCCCCAAATTTGCAAACTTCCCCCTTCCATGTCAGTTTGTTCGAAATAGTGCTACTTTGCTTGCTCATAATATGACAATGCTTCTTTTATTTATGTACTAAAAAAAAAAATTCTCTCGTCTAAATTCCCTCCTCCTCCAAACTATTTGCTTTATTTAGTGTAAAAATCCCCCCCAAGCTTTAAGCGCCCCCTGATGGGGGCCCCTGACTGAACTAGATCTTAGCCTGAGGCGAGGTGTGATTTCCAGCACCCTCTAGTTTTTAAGTTGGAGGCTAGATTCCACTTTAGGACCGCCTTAAGCATTATCGCAGAGCTTAATGCCATCTATATTCGCGATCGCAACGAACTATAGGGGGCCTTGTTGTAGGAGAAGAACACCTGCGATTTCTATATGAACAGTCATTCTGGAGTAGTGATGTGCCAATCGATTCATTTAAATGAATCGATTCTTTAGAATCAATTCACTAAAATGAACGTTTATCTGAATCAATTCTTTGATTCTCTTTTTAATGGTCGTTATAATGGAAGAGTCTTTATAAGAGGAGGTCGTGCAAATTAGTTAAGACTGTTTTAGTATTTGAATTAGTTGATCTAGGTCAGGGGCTCTCAATAGTTTTCGACTATGGAACTCTAAATAATTAATGTTCATTCGGCGGAACATCTGATAAAAGTACTATCTCGTGTAGCCGCTGTAACCTTTCCACGGAACCATAGGGCTTTACGGAACACCAATTGGGGACTATTAATTTAGATCTTAGGCTCTAGGGTGCAGAAGCAGAATATTCCAGTTAAGTGATCAGCCGAATGTGGCTAAAAAAAGTGCCAACTAGCGGAGCCCTTGCAATTCTTGACGGAACTCTAGGGTTCCATGGAACACCATCTGGGAACCACTCTTTTACATCTTACACTCTAGGGGGCAGAAGTTGAATGTTCTACTTGGGTGGCTATAAAAGTACTATCTCGTGTAACCGCTGTAACTTTTCCACGGAACCATTGGGCTTTCCGGAACATCAATTGGGGACCATTAATTTAGATCTTGGGCTCCAGGGTGCAGAAGCAGAATATTCCAGTTAAGTGGTCATCCGAATGTGGCTAAAAAAAAGTACCAATTAGCGAAACCCTTGCAATTCTTGGCGGAACTCTAGGGTTCCATGGAACACCATTTGGGAACCACTCTTTTGATCCTATACTCTAGGGGGCAGAAGTTGAATGTTCTACTTGGGTGGCTATAAAAGTACTATCTCGTGTAACCGCTGTAACTTTTCCACGGAACCATAGGGCTACCCGGAACACCAATTGGAAACCATTAATCTAGATCTTGGGCTCTAGGGTTCAAAAGCAGAATGTTCCACTTGGCTGGTCCAGTTGAATCTGGCTATAAAAAGTACGAACTAGTGGAACCCCTGTAATTCTAGACGGAACCCAAGGGTTCTACGAAACACCATTTAGGAACTGCTAATCTAGGCAATGCTAATAATTTTTTTAGAATTTTAATATTTTTATTTTTTTTTAATATTTGTTTGATGCATCAATTTTGTTAAAAAATTATTATTTTTTTTAAAAAAATTGTTAATATAAAGACCGATAATTAATAATAAAGATATTCGTAAAAAAATAAAACGGT